GACACTGAGATATCTAACTTTGTGGCAGATGCTGGTCTATGTGACCTTTTGTAACAGAAGGGTTCTTTTATCATTTGAGCTTTTGGTTTCATATTTCTCATCTGTTCTTTTCTGCGAGCTTAGTTGAGAGTTTAAATCAAAACCTAATTAGACTACATATGCTGTTTAGGAAAAAGTTCTTGGAAAAGTAATGATTCATATAAGCTTTGATATTTCCAGATAACATCTAAAAAGAAATGTGATTTTAATTGTTTTAAATAACTTTCAGTCATCCTCTTACTCAAATAAAAGTGGTTGAACACAGTTCTTCGATCAAAAAAATTCTTCAGTAACAGAAATACCAACTCTATATTCCTATCAACTATACCATCTATGTTTAATGATGAAACCCTTCATTGATATGCATATTTTTCAAGTAAGAAGTACTATAACTCAGCCATAATAACTATAATAACTATAGCTATAACTCAATATAATATATAAATCATATCATATACATACCAGTATCATAAACCTCAAATCAGAAGTTATCAAATTATATTTAATTTCTGAAAAACAAAAATCTGTTTGTATGTGTTAAGCACCAAGGATGTCAGCCAAAGTTTGCTTTTTAACAATATTGATATAAATATATATTTTTATTTTTCTCCTTTGATATTCTAGGTGGGAAACTGAATTATTTTAATGTTATTTTAATTATAATGCATTACCTGAATTATATATTTCAATATTTTAATTAGCACTAGGGAAGGCCACATTTTAAACACTCACAACTTTCACTAGGTTAAAGAAACCTGCATCAAAAAATTATGACTAGTGTCATGTTCAAACATTAATAAATACATTTGCCAAGAAAGCCCTGATCTCTGATACTTAACACAAAGATGTAAGTTCTATCTGTAAAAAAAAACCAAAAAAAATTAAAAACCTTTACATTTTTATGTCCTACTTAGTCATTTGACCCAGTTCTTAATCAGAAGTAGCCAGAATTTTCTTTTATTCCACAAAGCAATTGCCTGCTGCCTTAAGAATAAGAACTTGAGTATTTCCCCTGATAGAAGGCTGACAAGTCTTAATGAGGAACTCTGTCTTCAACATCAAGCCAATACAGTTTCTGTTAATTGTCTGAATACAGTACTGTGTCACACTGCATATAAAAATGATATTCTGAAATCAAGAAATTATAGGTATTGTCAAGGCCAATCCCTGCAAATATAATCACAAATTTATAATATGCAAAAGCAAAATTTCATAAATATTTTTTAAAAATCTAAATTTAATTTAAGACAGAAAAACAAAATGTAGATTCAGATTTTCAGTTACTCTTACTTTAGTGATTCAATAAAGCTACAGTAATTTATTATGTCACCTAGTTGAATATGCAATACATTGAAATATTTTTCTTATATTTACTGTCTAGCCATTACTGTTGTGTGACTATCCTAACAAGGAAACAATATAGAGAGACATCAGACTTTAAAGATAGTTTCCAAGAAATAAATTGAAGATGCATTTATATTGAGACAACACTGATATCCCAAACTTCTGAACAACACATGAAGTCTACCGACATCCTAATAATATAAAATGAATATGCATGTTCATTGATACTATCAAAAAATGGGTTTCCTAATGTTCAAAATGTGCAAAATTCTCAGCATTTTCTACAAAACTTTGAAAAACTCCAATGTAATTCAATAACAAGTTTAATTGTAAGACCTTAATTACAGGACAGCACTCTTAAAAAAAAAAAAGGAAAAGAAGAAAGAAAAAAAAGACTGAGTATACTTCTATATTAAAACCAAAGCTCACCATATAGAATAGCTAAATGTGAACTGATAAGTCAGACAGCTCCTGCCTGCAAACTTCTGCAACACCAAGCAATTAATTTAAAGTATTCTTCAGAGACCAGGAGACATGTAGTGGAACACGGAATATTTTGAAAGTAAAGTTAATTTTCTTCTGGTTTCAGATAAATGAATAAAGTCTGAGGCTTAGACTCGTGCATCAATGGTATTTTTGAGATGTACTGTTTGGTATCACCAACAGTACTTTCATGAAAAGCATATCTTGCTGGACTGAGAAACCCCCAATGATTTTCACACTGCTATGAGAAGTGACTGTCTCAAGGATGGGGGATAGTGTTGAGGAGACATGGGGAAGGAGAAAGCAACACCCAATTACAAATTTTAGGTTGAGTGTTATTCAGTGTAAATTTTATTGATTTTTATCATCTAATATAATTGGTGAACTGGATGAAAAGCTTTTTTTCTGTGAATGGGGCCACCCTCCCAGAATGCTAAAGATGTCTTAAATAGAAATATACTATTTAACAAGCCTTTCATTGCATTAAGCCAAGGCTTACATACATGATTATGGAATAAAAGCAGTATTTTCAGCATTTTGTTTAAAAGAAAAGCAGCTTACCACATAAATCATGACATGAACCAATAGCATATGTCTAAGCCACATAGCTAGATGTCAAGTTATTTTCTGTTCTGATTCTTAAGCTAAGAATTATCTAAATATCCAACACATTAAAAAAAATGTCTACTTACACAAAAACATAATTTCCTGATGGAGTCTTATAAATGCATATATAAAACACCAGAAAGCCCAGCAAAACATTGCATTAGTCACAAAGTATTTGAGTTTCAAGTTTCACCTCTACACTCTTCGGAGTAACCCATGCACAAGCACATCAACACACACGGCTATCAGACAGCTGGACGTGCCATCCGCTTCGCTCTCTCGGCCACCCGCACGGATCAAAAGGCTCCAGAGGGACCCAAAAGCACCAAGTCAGGGCGCGGGGGCAGCGAGAGGCTTCTCCCCTCCTGCCCCCGGCTGTTTGGGCTGCCTTGCAGCACCTTGGACAGCGGTCTCTGGGCCCGCCGCTCAGCGCAGTAAAGCCCAGCCCAGCCCAGCCCAGCCCCGCGCCGGAGGGCTCATCCCCTGCCCTCCGCACCTGCACTAGCTGGGCACCTCCACTGCCCACCAGATTCCCTGGAAAAAGGGAAAACCCACTAAGTCGCACCCTGGGTTGGGGTTTTCTTCCTTTCCCCTGCTGGAATATCTTTCATTTTTAACACAGACTGGTCGGCCAAATTCTCAAAACATAGAGCAACATCGTCTGGCACTCAGACCTGGAGAGATGTAGGTCGTTGGCACTGTGTTTGTCTAGCTCATTTAAGTTTCACTCAATCATCTTAATGTCAACAACTTTTTCACCATCATTAGACAAATATTACTTCTCATTGGGTGTCTGCAGGGGAAATCATTATACAGCATACATTTACTGTTCTGTTCATTTTCAACATCTTTTACACTATCATATTCTGTAGAGCAACTGCGCACTTTGCAGTAAAGTTCAGCCAAACCAAACTGTGACACAAAAAAATCGCTTTAAGCAAGTAGATGTTGATCGTTTGGCAGCACAGAATAGTAGGTCAATTTGTACTTAAAGAGCTACTGAAACGGTAAAGATGTCCTTACAGCAGTAGACATCTATTTACATTTGACACCCTTTTTTACTTTTCCAATTCACTCTGGAAGTAAAATGGGTTTTACATTATCAGTAACTGAGTACATAGTATCTATACAATGAGTGTGTACACACACAGTTTGCAACCTAAAAACAGTGGAGTCAAAACTACTGATGAATGTACCTTATTCTTGTCAGATTTAACAAGAATAAATAAATATAGCAACTTTCCTACTTTATCCAATTAGATAATGGGCTATTTCAGCTCCTGGAGGGATTGTGGATTGATTTTTGCGGCAAAGAAGTGAAAATTACACTAACTTATTGGTGAATGGGATTCTTTAGGCATGGACTGTTACCATGAAATGATTTGAGAAGGCCCTGCTGAAGTTACAAAGCGTGGAGGTACTCTAGGCCTCCTGTTCAGAGCAGTGATGCCTGTGCACTGTTGTGTTTAACTGCTAAAGCAGAATTTGGTTCAGACTAGTTAATCTAGAGCTACAGTAGTTGAGATAATCCAGTTCAGGGCAGAAACGATTCACCTCAACAAGTACTGAAACAGGGAAAGAAGAATGCAGTCAGCTATTTTAGGTGCTCAGGACAACACTTTTTTCTGCCCTGTCTTGAGAGATAGGCCAACTAATCTTGTGCAAAAGTAGAGAGAAGGCAACAACTACAAGAGACAAAGTAGGACCCTCTGTCTTCTAGCACAGGAAAAGAAAAACCTCTGGATCTCTTTGAGCCCTCACCAGTGGCACCAAAGAAAAGAGCTGTGTCTTATCAAAACGTTGTTACCATCGCTTCCCAACCAAGGCCCACCGCGCTGCCCGTTGAGAGACACCCTCGTCCTCCAGCTTTTCCCAGGTCCACAGATTTTGGCAGAGCGCCTGGAAGCACGGTCCGCTCTCCGCTCCCGAGGCGGTCCGGCGCCGCGCCGCTCCGCCGCCATAGGGCACCGCCGTCCCCGGGGCCAAGCGCCCGACGGAACCCATCCAGAGCCTCCGGTGTGTGCCCCTGGCCGCCGCGGGGGGACGGAAAGCCAGTCCTGGGGGGCACCGCGGCCACCCACCTCCCCGAGGGCCGGCGGCCAGGGCAGCACCGTCGGGCAGTCCGGCCTCGACCGCCGCTCCGAGCCCCGCTCATTGTCATGCAGCCCCTGTCGCTGCCTGCCGCCAAGTCGCATCCGAGCCCGCTGGAAGCCGGCAGAAGAGCCGGAGCCAATCGCATATTCATGAGGAGGGGGAAATCCAGCGCTACGCTCCCAGAGGACCGAGGATCACTTCTTTTTGCTTTTTCCCAAGCTTCCCCCTCTCTCTTCCTCTCTTTTAACAACGCGCTAACGGGGACATCTCGGCCGATACACCCCACAGCTCCGCCTGCACCGTACGAACCGCGGCCGCCGGCGCCAGGGACAGAGACCGAAGCAGGCACAACAGGGACCACGGCAGCCACAACAAGCCGAGGGAGGCACGCCAGCCCGCCATCCAGGGACAGGAAACACAGCAGGGGCTCCTACCTTACAATCCTCAGGACACGATTTCACCGAGTACTCATCCGACTGTAAATATTTCTGGAGCATAACCTCAAACTCTTCATATTTCTCCTGAGCGTGCTGGTCGTAGCGCTGGTAAGCCTGGACGCACTGGCTGCAGGAGCCTTCCCCCCTCAGCACCACATCCAGACTGCAGTTCAAAGTGTCCGGATTGGACAACCCGGCAAACAACTCCCAAAGTGTGTAGGAATTACAAAAGGAAAGGTAAAAATCCGTCAGGTCCCAGCCGGGCGCCGGGCTCTGCCCCGCGCCCGGCGGCCGCCCCGACACCCCCCGCGGCCGGCACACCGCCTCCGCGTCCCCCACGCTGAAGCACTGCCCGGACGAGGACCCCGGGGGGGGACACGTCTCCAGGGGCCTGGTGGTGGAGTTCCCTAGGAAAGCAGCTTTGCCGTGCCGGGGCTCGGTGCCGTTGTTGCGGCTGCCGCGGCTGCCGCCACCGCTGCTGCCGGGGGAGGGCGGGAGGGAGGGCGAGGGGGGGGCGAGGAGCCGGGGCGCGGGGGGCGCCGGCTCCCCCATGCCCGCCAGCAGCTCCGGCTCCGCGGGCTCCGGCTTCTCGGGCGGCGGCTGCTCCTTCTCTCCGGTCCCCGTGAATTTGGCCTCAGCGCAGAACCACAAGTGATCAGAGAGCAGGACCGTGAAAAACAAGAGCGATGCCAGGGACAGTCGCCATTTCTGAGCCCTCTCTGAATCCGTGAAGGGTTTCTCGTTCTCCCGGGGTGCGAACCAGATTTTTAAGCCGTCATCATACTGCCGACTA